AAAAAAGTCGTCAAACAACAAAATCCGCTACTGTATATTAACATGAGTAAATTACAAGTGTTCTATTTCTCACCAAGTGGATTTATGAATAGCACTCTCCTAGGGTGGTTTTGGTAGGAAAAGAAGACTTAAACAGTGTGGGTGTAATTTTTTCTTTGCAAAAAAATAGAGGAGAGGGGGGGGGGGGCGTACGTACTGTACTTGAAAACAATAAGGAAGCAAAACTTACACGTCAAAAGTGTCAAATGTTGTATACACAAAAACTGTACTTTATTAAAAGAGTAAGTCTACTGAAAGGTGTCGTCAATGGAGATGTGCACACATATCAGTGTACTGTGGTCACTGTGCATGGGGTTGTCTGACAGCACATACCTGCTGACCTCGATAGAGAGTGATTGATTGCACAAAGGTTTCCATGCTGGTGCATCTGCGCTTAAACTGTCTTTGTAGCTATGCATTGCGCGATATGACATAGAATCAACCTTTCTATGGAATTGTGTATCCATTAAATTATCTCTCCCTGTCCATTAATTATCTCCCTGTGATCAGCGTTGTTACTGGCTATATACTAGCCTAGGCGGAGAAAAATAAATCCACTGTGGTAGCAAATCAAATTAAGTAGCAAATTTGACAATGACTATCACGCATAATTATTAAATAGTACGTAATATTACTTTTACATTGGATGGATTTTCGTTGTTCTCTGCACATATTTCGATGTAAAACGATGTCTCGCATGAATCGTTGTTATGCCTCGCACTTTTGGGAATGGTAAAACGATGCCTCGCATGAATCGTCGTTTTGCCTCTCTGCCTCGCATGCCTCGCTGCCTCGCATGCCTCGCTGCCTCGCATGCCTCGCTGCCTCGCATGCCTCGCTGCCTCGCATGCCTCGCTGCCTCGCTGCCTCGCATGCCTCGCTGCCTCGCACTTTAGTAATACCCTATCGGTTGATGAGGAATTTATTGATTAGGCCTATAATAGCAAATTGCATCAATTTATTTTGCAAAAACAAGGTTTCCAGCTTCAGAGGGGGGGGCATCCCCTGTCCGCGGCACATCTCCTGTCCGCACAAGGGCACACATTGGCGCTAACACCAGGCGCGTAACAGGGGTCTTGGGTCAGAGTGGGTATATATTTTTTTTATTTTTTATTTCAACCATCTTTAAAGAGGGTAACCCTTCTAGTTTAGCCCAGTAGGTTAACTGACATTCAGGGGCCGTTTTTAATATAATTAAAGAACAGTACAAACAACATCATCATCATCATCATCATCATCAATAGCATCATCAATATCATCATCATCATCTTCATCATCATCATCATCATCATCATCATCATAATAATAATAAAAATGATAATAAACAGCAGCAGCAGCAGCAAATCACAACTCTTTAACGCATTTAGCACAATTTTCTTCACTTTTTTATTGTTATTAATATTAATATCAATTATTACTATTGTCATCATCATCATTGTTATTATTATTATTAATATTAGTAGTAGTATTATTAAACAAACATTTAAAGAAACTTGCAAAAGGATAAAAACGAAATTGAACCACAGTATCGCATTTCTATCTTAAAAGACCTGGCCTTAGATTAAGCAACCCTCATTTCCCGGTTAGTAATTTACCATACTTACCCCACTCCACTCCCCATATAGAAAACAATATGACATAGGGCTTATCTTATTTATAATACAGGCCACACACATGTGTTTGAAACTAAATATAAGCATTTTCATCATGGTTGTATTTATTACAAACACATTCTTTCACCATCTATACACATTGAGGCCCTTCTTTTAGGTTA